ACAATGAACAAAGAGCATAGGGGTGAAATAAATGAAAGAACGTATAAATGAATGAAATGTTGTCCCATGTTTATGAATTGATAGATTTAATATTGAAAAGATGTATTTTCCAGTATGATCTACAGATTCAGTGTAGTCCCCATCAAAATCTCAGTAGCCTTTTTTTGTCCCCCAGAAATGGATAAGGTGATCCTAAAATTCATGTAAAATTGCAAAAGATCAAGAGCAGCAAAACCAATTTTGTAAAAAGAAAAACTAAGTTGAGGGACTAACACTTCCCTATTTCAATATGTAATAAAAATTACAGTATGTAAAACAGTATAGTGCTGTCACATGGTTAGATGCAGAGCTCAGTGTAATATAATTAAGAGATCAGAATAAATTTGTACACTTATGGTCAATTGATTTTTGACAAGAGTGCCAAGATCACTTAATGGTAAATAATAGTCTCTTTAGTTAATGTTCCTTGGACAATTGTATGTACTCTTGTGAAAGAATAAATTTGGATCCATACCTTAAATCACATAGAGAAAAATCAAAATGGATCAGATATTTACATATAAAGCAAAAGTATAAAAATTACATTGATGTAAAACTAAATCTTCCTGAATTTGTATTTGGCAACAGTTTCTTAGGTATGATTATGAAAGCACACTTAACATTAAAAGAGATAAATAGGACTTCATGAAATTAAAACTTGTCTACATCCAAGAACATTATGTAGTGAAAAGAACAGAATGTGAAAAAATATTTTCAAATCATGTATCTACTACTAAGAAAATATAAGAACTCTTACAGTTCAAGTTCAAATAGAAAAGCAACCTAATTTAAAAATTGAGGAAGGATGTGAATAAACATTTCATCAAAGAAGAAGTACAAATGACCAATAAGCACATGGAAAAAAATTCTCAATGCCATTAGTCATTAGGGAAGTGCAAATCAAAACCACAATGAGATACTATTACACACTTATTTGGACAACTGGGATATACAAACAAAACAGGGAAGAAGTCATTGTCCTTCAGGAGCCAGCACCTCCATGTCTGCAGCAGCTTGCCCTCTGCTCTGTCCTTGCTGCTACTCACTACCCTCTTGCCACTCACCACAGCTCCTCTGCACTGTGACCACAGCTTTTCCAAGATCTTTACCACCTTACCGCCAGCCATCACCACTGAAGCCTCTACTAATGCCAGCTCCTGGTGGGTCCATGTTGAGATGGGACACCTGGATCCCATCCTTGGAGTAACAGAAACCTACAAGAGGCACTCAAACAGCAAGGTGATAGTCTGAGAGCCGGAGTCTCTGGAATGATAGCAGAAACCTCCCCAGCATGTGGAAGGCAGAGGCCCAGATTGCTGGAAAAAAAAATTGGACAAGGAATGCCAACCCATTGTGGCTTTGACTGAATTTGACAGTCCTTGGTGTTGAGAAGTGTTTGAGAAGTGGCTGGTTTGTCCCTGTGCAGACCATTTCTGGAACTGGGGCCTCAAGGATTGGAGACAGTTTTGTGTGAAATTTTCTAGTTTAGCTGACCACCTTGAGGAAACCACCCACCCATCTTCAGCAATGCTGGCAAGCATGCTATTGACACCATGACCTCATGACCTCACCACAGGGTTGGCCCCTTTACCTCAGCTTTGCCAAAAGGATTTACATGTGCAAGAAACCCATAGCAACAAAAAAACTGTCAGTCATTGCCTACAACATTTCAGAAGCTTTAACTGAAGCACTTTATTATGCTAGGGGTTCCTTTGTGGGCCCAGCAGGAGAACGAGCACATATCTAGAGGTATTGGGAGAAGAGTGAGTTCTATTGTTAACAGCTGGCTGCATATTTGTCCTTCCCTGATATAGCCACATTATCACCAGGCCATATTGCAGAAACTAGGTTTCATGAAAACCAACAAGTCTGATACTAGTGCAGCAAGGAAAAGAAATTTTCTCTCATATTTAAGAAATAGAGAAAGAAAGTTCTCTCTTCTTCCTTACCATTGTGGTTTTTTTTTCTTTAGGCACAGGCATCTCTGTCTTGCTTAGATTTTTATCCCATTCTACATCTTGGTTCAATCAACTCCATCCTAACAGGATTTATTTCAGAATGAAGAGCAGAGGTGGTATTTGGCACAGCAGTTAGGGTGCTTGCACCCCATCCCAGATGTCTGAGTTTGAGTCCTGGTTCTGCTCCCAGTACCAGCTTCCTGCTAATGCACACCCAGCAGGTGGTGGCTCCAGTAGTTGGGTCCTTGCTATCCATGTGGGAGATCTGGATGGAGACCCCTGCTTCTGTGTATTTTGAGAGTGAACCAGCAAATGAGAGATCTCTCTCTTTCCGCCTTTCCAATAAGTAAAATAAAGTAAGTTTAAATTTCTTAAAAAAAATAGCAAACTTTGCCAAACATTACATCCAGTATGATATTATTTGTACTATTAATATAAAAATTAGATGCTACTGAATAATTTATATAGTGAGTACTAATATAATGTATAGTAAAATTAAATTTAGTATCATTGAGTCCATCTCCCTTGGAAGAAAAACTTTATTGTGTAATCTAGTCTTTCTTTAAGGAAATCAGCTCACTTCTAATAAAAGGAAGAAATTAAGTCAGGGCCAGAGGCAAGTTAATAATTATTCAAGACACAAAATCTGCCACTAGTATTATTGTTTCTCTTCTGTCCCATATTTAACTCTTTCTGGCCACTAAACTTGGCTTACACTTTGCAAAGTGCGTGAAGTTCCTAGTTCTAGAGATCAAATCAGGGCTGACATTAGGATCAATAATCTGTCACTTTGTGGAGGAGAAGTCTGACTTCAGGACAGGGAGGCAGTGCTTCCTCTTGGGCCCTGTGCTCTAAGGGATTTTATTAGTGTCCAAGTGACTCAAAGAGTGTGAAGGATGAAGTGGTGGGAGAGAAAGTCTAAGAAGTAGAGAGGAGACACAATAGCCTGTACAGTTTGTTTGGGAGTCCTCTGCTTTCCTAGTTTCCTGCTTTCCTACCATCTACCTTTCTTATCACTCCTTTTCTTATCATTGTGTTAATAAATGCTCCAGATGCCCATTGGGAATTCTCCAGAACTTTGCTTTGGATTCCTACTCTTTTCTGTCAACACCCATCTATTCTGTGATGTGTCCCCTCCTATCTCTGAGGATCGTGGCTCTTCCTTGTGTTCTTTCCAAACATCCCGATTCATTGTTTGAGTCTATTACTTGTCTTTAGTGTTTCCCCATTTTAGTTCATTCCAGCCAAAAATCTTCCTAATGCATTTAATGTGTCTGATACCTTTCTTTCATAACACTGCTCTTCTGTTGAGTCCCTTCAAGAGCATCCCTAGTGCTCACAATGTTGGTCTCATGCTTGGTAAGCAGTAAAGTTCCTCACAATTTGTCCCCACCTAACTTTCTGACTTGTTTCTGCATTGTATGCAGAAACCCTCAACTCCAGCCTAACCACCCGACTTGCTATTGCCTGTCTTCATCATGTCCCTTACTTTGCTGCCCTCCTGACTCGGAGGGCACTGTTCATCTGTCTCCACCCGTCAAGTTCTACCCCCTTCTTTCAAGCCTGGCTCACATCCTGAGTTCACAAAGAAGCCCTCCAGGATCACCCTAGGGGAAGTATTTCCGTTTTCTAGCAGTTTTATGCCATTTAAAGTCTGTGTCTCTCTTTTATCATATTTATCCTTTTATTTTAGTCACCTGCGGAAATGACTTTTAAGTTCCCTGAAGGATTATCATGTACTAGAAGGCAGGAACTGTATTGTATTTCTTTGAGTTGCCTCCACTTCCTTAACAAAAGTCAAATAAATTACTTAGAAATTAGCTCTAACTTAATTTGGGTATAGACTTGAACTAATTGAAACTGGGTATGGATTTTTCTTTAGTAAAATGGTGAGAACAAAGATATCAGGAAAATTCTTTTTCCTTCTGAACCTCAGAATATTCAGTGAACTAAATATGAGGATAATTCAAATTTTTCATGAAAAAATAAAACTAAAAAGTGCATTTTGGTGCGAAAGATTTTTGAAATCTGTGCAAAACATTTTTATAATATGCATTTTCTATGAAAGTTTTGAAGAATAAAAATTTGGTTAATTTTTGTACCAAAATTAGCTTATCATTTAATTCCATTTTTGAAGTGCCCTCTTATGAGGTGAAGAGAAAAATATATTGTGGAATTAGGTTAAGGCTCATGCTTTTTATAAATAAATTTTATAAGTATGCTCAAAATATTTTATCTTCTCCTCTTGATGTATAATTCTAAAGGAAACTGAGAATTTTCTAATATTTGTAACTGACTCTCCTTTGCTATTCATGTTCAAGTTAAGAATTGGATCATGTAAGAACATGATGGAATGGGGACACAGGTGCTCTTGGGAAAACCATGTTCTCACAGAATGAAGATAAGTGCTTTCAAAAACATAGAGAACTTCTAGGGGAAAAAATGACAGAGCTAGAGAACATATGTTTGCCTGCAAGTCGTTTCTTCCCAATCTACCCTTGGTCAACCTCTGAGTAGGAGCACCACAAACATGGGATTATCCTTAGCTATGTAGGAAAGGGAATGTAAAGTAAGAAGATAGGAAGTGAAAGGTATAATTTCATCTCAGAAAATGGCACCTGGAATATCCCTGAGAGCATCCTTTTCTTATGGCCCTCCACACTCACTTGGAACACCTGTTACTCCAGGTGCCAGTGTTAGCTTACAAGATGTGCCATAGCCTTATATTTCAGAAATTAGGAAGAGGGCATCATAGCAGAGAGAAGAAGGTTATGTTGTGTTTACAATGTCTTTATGTGATCCCACAAATAAGCCCAGCAATTTACTTTGTGTTCCATGGTCTGTAGGTGATGACCCATGAGTTATTCAAACTGACCTTGAGCTGAGTTACTAGTCTCTGTTAGTGTGCAAGTGCTGGAATCCTCTCCAAGACTAGTTCTGAGTATACACCTTCATTGTTTTCTCAACTAATTCCAATTTCTTTATCTTGTTTTTCTATTTCAGAAAAAATTCAAAATAATTCACAACCCCCTCTAATGAGTAAGTACCGAACTAACCAAAAAAAAAAAAATTAAGGAAACTGTTAGAAGCTGGATCATTTCAATGAATGGATTCGTTTGTATTAGATTATCTATTGTGGGAACCATAGTGCCCACTGCTATCCCAACCCCTCCCCCAAACAGCTAAGTCTCCCACTCTTGGCAAAGATCTGACTGCTCACTCAACCCAAACAGCAGCTGCAGCACAAACAATACGGCATTTGTTACGACTGTGAGTTACCAAACCACTTAACATCCGGCTTCAGTTGCCCAGATCATTGTGACCTAGGCACACACAGTATAACCGTATGCTACTCCAGCATTTTTTCATACTGTGTTAATAGCAACCCGAATAAAAAAATACATCCTACACCATGAACCATAATATGTGTATGAAATAATGTTCCACTAAGTCACATTTGCCTCAAAACAGAGTTTCTGATTTAACATTTTAGGCCTGCTCGTTCTTTGTTGTGGCAAGGCAGGCGATGTGTCCTTCGTAATGTAGGATGTTTAGCACAACTGCAGCCTCTACTCATCAGATGCTGGTCCCCTCCTCCCACCTTATGTCGATCAGAAATGTTTCCTGATAGTGCCACATGTTCCCTCGGGAGTAAAACTGTCCCGTTTGAGAACCACACCGCTGGTGCATGTGTGAGGCATTCTGATATTTTCCATTCTGTGCTGTTTTATTTTTAGAAAATACTATTTGTGCTCTACTGAACGATTTTCCAACCTATTAATATGTTACAACCAACTGTAGGCAAACTGGGTCTTAATGTTTGTTAATACTGATAAGTAGTCATGAGCATCAGCTGTCTGCCAAGCAAAGCTGTTTGGAGACACATAAGGTGTTTGTTGTTTGGAGATATGATGGGTTCAGAAAGGGGTGTTGTGTTGAAGGAACATGAATTTAGTGTCAGAATCATATTGACTTGAGTACCAATTGCTACTTACTAGCTGTCTGACTTTGGGTAATTCTTGGAACAATAACCCTCTTCTCCAATCATGGAGCTGGCTGAAGCTAAGAGTGTTTCTAATTTTCTTATGTGATGAGTATGAGCATTTAATGAAACGCTGTACCTGGAAGGCCTCTGAGAAGTGTTTTCTGAGAGCCATGATGGAGATTTGTTCTCTGCAAGATGAACTCTGGCATCATACAGGATTTTTTGGCAAATATAAATTATTGCTGAGCCACATATGCTGAGGAGCGAAGCAAGAGGTCATTGAGGGCATTACTGCCTGGGATTCTTAGGGGATATGTCTGGGAAGGAAAGGCCTCAAAATGCCTCCCTTCGAATTCTGACTGTGCAGAGGGCTACTGATGCTCCGGAGAGATCTCAGATTTCCTAAGTGTCTTCAGCATTGACTAACTTTCCAGATGCAACTGGTGTCTCAGGACCACCCTCCAAGGAAGAGATGGCAGACTCATCGTGGCTCCTTTACGGTTTGCTGGCTTCAGGAGGATTGCCCCTGCTCCTTATCACCTGCTTCTGCCTCCTATGCTGCCTGAGAGGGCACCCAGGTGGGGTCCATTCTCCCTTTGCCTCTCTGTACCACACACTTGGGGCTCTTATTCCTGGGGCTGATGGAGTTGTAGGTGTTTCCTGCTGTTTTCATTCTGGGTCTTCTGTGATAAACTAAGGATAATGATTTCCTGGATCTTAATGGCTGTTAACATTGATCAATGGTGATGGGCATCAGCTGCCTGCCAGGCAAAGCTATGTGGAAAGGAATAAGGTGTTTGGTGTTTGGAGATACCAATGAGTGATGAGTTAAGAAAGGGGTATTGTGTTAAAAGAACATGAATTAGTGTCAGGAACATATTGACTAGAGTTCCACACTACTGCCAAAAAGTCACATGGATTAACTTGGGCTGGCTCCACTTGTGACAGGGCATGCCCACCACAGTACAGGCTCCAGCCTAGGGCCGTGCCTAGGAGGGTCCAGTGGCTGGGACTTTCTCATCCCATTTGTATCTAACTTAGGTTTGTCTGAGAAAGAGCTCTTTTAAACTTTAGCTGGCTGACAGGGAGGTTGAAATAATCTCTCAGATAAACATGTCTAACTTGAATTTTGTCTTATCCTCTTTTTCCACGCTATACCACATGACTCCAGGCACACACCCTTATCTAAATAAAGAACCAAAGTCCTCAAAGAGAATTCATGTGTGTGTGTGCTTTGTCACCGTCAGAAATATGTTTCCACTGAGCCCTCACTTAACCAAAATGTATTTGAAAAATGTGGGTTTGGCTATGATGGGAGAAGTGTCATATTTTGAAAACAGTTCTTTCTGTTTTTGAAAATTTCCATCAGTGTCACAACCAAACACTTAAAAAAACTAAGAGAAGAATGAAGAGGTATTTCTGATCTAGTTCTGATCTGAAGCACCACAGCTTTCTCGTTCGCCCTCTCCTCCTCCTCTCATGACTTTTTCCACACCAGCCACAGTGTAGCTATGGAACCAGCTAGAGAAACCCTTGCTCTGCTGCCACAAGGGAAAACTTGGTCTGAACAAAAACACTTGCAGCGTTGCAGAGTGAGCACTAACCCAGCACCTCCTCAAAATTCTGAGAAATGCTCTGGAAACAGCAATCCTGCTTCCGCACCTGTGTGGCTCTTCTCCGGTGGGGGGGTGGGGGGTGGGTGGGGGGCAGCTGATTCTTTATGTTTCATGAGGTTGCTGGAACCTCTCTCAGAACTCTGTCATTTCCTAGTGGGGGAAATGGGCAGTGTAAATTCTCACAAAATGGGCATGGTAGCCAAAGGAAATAAATACATCAAAATAATGACAACGGAATGGGCCTGGGTGGGAAGGTCAGTCACCTGGGCTTTCCTGAGTCTTGGTGGATGCTTATTATTCTTTTCCTCTTCCAGGGAAACAAAAGAAGCCTTTTGATGCTGCAGGAAGAGAAATTAACCTGGTATGTTTGATATGTCTGGCAGAACAAATGCACTTTGTGTTATTCTAGGTTCTCATTCATTCATTTGACACATCTATAGAACACCATGTGCCTCTGAGTAATATATAAAATGTTTGTTTTACATTCACTCCAGCTTGCAACAAAGGCTCTTCAGGGTGAATAGTTCTCACAATCAGACTTTCTTTGGAAGGGCATAGGACACAGTCAAGATTCAAAATAGAAAAATTGGAGACTGAAACCCTGAACCTTGGCTCTGCTCTTGCCTGTTATGCAACTTGAGGCTATCCTTTTATTTTCACAAAAACATTTTGAAGTCTTTCTGGAAGACAATACTGTCTGGAAGACAATAAAGAATGAACACATCAATAAACTCCTAAAATGACTAGATTTCTTTATAAACCATACAGCAGATAGAAGCATCTTCCCAGGCTTAGTTACTAAGCACAAGTCCTTGATGTTGTGTGTGGGCTCCTGGAGGAAGAGACCACTTGGACAAAGCAAAGGGCAATTTGGAGACATTTTTTTCTAAAAGATTGGGAATGTAAATTTAAATTCAGTGTTATATAGATATTGGAATGAAAAAACCATGCAAGATGAGGCAATATGTTTATGAGAAAACTGTTTTGAAATCCTTTAATTAGCAAACAGTCATAGATGAGGTAGAGTTTGACTTGCAAGTGTGTGTTTCAGTAAAGAAGAGTGGCAATGAAGAGGTCATAACCCTCTTGAAATTTCCGAAAAACCAAGTATATTTTTGGCAGATAGAGTCAATAATTCTCTATGTACGTGATGTTAGTAGTGTTCACCACTCCTTACTGAGCTTCCTGGTTTTAAACCAAAGCACATACATTCAACTTACCAGATTTTATTAAGCTTTTAGAAAGTATCACTGTGTCGAGTACTAAGGCTTTGTTTTATCAAATAGGAAAATTTTCTTAAATGTTATTTTCTTTTTCCCTTAGTGAATGATAACAAAAACTGCATTTTATCACAATCAGGGCTGAGAGCTGTGAAGCTATTGAAAACAATAATCCAAGTAATTTTTTGTGTGTTTGTAGTTCTGTTTCTTTCTGTGTAAGCTGGGAAAAGTATTACTTGAAGTTGAATTCAAAAGGTTTTTTTCTCTGTATGTGTAATTATTTGGGAAGTTTGATTTCAGGTGTTACTGTATTTCAGAGGAATTTGAGATTTTTGCTTTATTTCAGTTATCTAGCACTTCAGAAAACAATCAGAGAGTTGCCAAATGCAGCCCTTGGCACTAACCATTAAGAAAGAACTTGTATGGGAATTAGTGGAAAAAATCCAAAATAGAGAAAGGAATTGGTGAAAACACAGGTACCTGTAAAAGCTGAAGCTGTAATCTTTCCAAAAATGGCCCTTTGAGCATCTAAAATTATTTGTATTTGAAAAACAACTGAATCTTATACTTGAAAAGGTGAATTTTATGGCATGGGAATTATATGTCAATATATCTGTTAGCAATTCAAAACAACACATATTTATTATCTCACGGTAGTGGGTAGTATAGATATGGCTTAACTAGGGCCTCTGTTCTGGGTCTCACAAGACTGACAATCAAGTTGTCAGGCAGGCTGCGTTCTCATCTAGAGTTTTTGTCCTCATCCAAGTTCATCTATTTGCTGGCAGACTCTACTTCCTTGCAGCTATAGAACTTCATTCTCATCCGTACTCTGTTCTTCATTGGATGTCAGTCAGGGGCCACTGTCTACGCACCTTCTGTGGCTACCTGACTCTCTGATGGTCACTTTAACAACCATATAGCTTGCTTCAAGGCTACCAACAGAATCTCTAGCTCCATTCTGCTAGGACAGAGTCATAAATCATAGAACCAATTCAAAAGATTTATTTTCCTGTGGATACTCCCTATCAGCCTCTCCACAATGTAGTGGCTGGAAACAATTCACAGGTTTTTCCCGCACTAGCACTCCAGGGAAGAAGATAATAGGAAGGGTGTGACTCACTGGGGGTCATTCATTAAGGTGTGTCCAGATGCATAGCAACTTACCCTTTGAATAGAACTAAAATGGGACAACTCACCTTTCTACTGGAAGTCAAAGTAAACAGGAAAATATTGGTGACTCTTAAAGGTTATAAGGTTAAACTTTTTAGAAAGTGCTTTGTGGGGTCAGCTTTGTGGCCTAGTGAGTAAGGCTGCTGCCTGCTACACCTACATCCCATATGGATGCTGGGAAAAGCAGCAGAAGATGGCCCAAGTGTTTGGGCCCCTGCAACCCCTGTGAGAGATCTCAATGAAGCTACTGGCTCCTGGCTTTGTGACCATCTGGGGCACCTCTGTCTGTCTCTCTCTGCCTCTCTGTAACTCAAGTAAAGAAATAAATCTCTTTTTAAAAAGTGTTTTGTCCATTGTAAAGGGCCATGGGAATGGAAGGTAGGATTGATGCTTCTGCCCACATCATAGGGCACCAGCGTTGGAGCACCCATGGCTTTGATGGGGCATCACTGAAGAGGTTCACCTGTAGAACACCAGGTTTTCTTTTCCTCCATTCATGCTAACAAAATTTTTCAGGGAAATAAGCATATTTTGGGAGGAGATACAGGTAATTGAATTGACAGACTTACACAGGTAGAAAAATAGAACAGGGACCCTACTGATATGATGAATTTTTATGGCTATTTTCCAGTCACTGGAAACTCCCCTTCAGTGCCCACCCACTGACTTTAACCAGGCTCCTTCTAGTGGGGATGGAATACTTTCCATCTTAGCCAAGAAATCTTTGTCGTTTTCTTCTTTTCAAGATGTATTTATTTATTTGAAAGGCAGAGTTACAGAGAGAGGGAGAGACAGAGAAGTCTTCCATCCACTGGTTCACTCCCCAGATGGCCACAGTGGTCAGGGTGGTGCCAGGCCAAAACCAGAAGCCAGGAGTTTCTTCCAGGCCTCACATGTAGTTTCAGGGCCCCAAGCATTTGAGCCATCTTCCACTGCTTTCCCAGAAGCATTAGCAGGGAGTTGGATTGGAAATGGAGCAGCAGAGACATGAACTGGCGCCCATATGAGATGCTGGCATTACAAGGTGGTGGCTTTACCAACTATGCCACAGCGCTGGCCCTAAATCTTTGCCTCTTTCAATAATCAGTCTTAGTGATATTTTTGGGCAGCCATCTCATAAGAGGGAAGCAGTGCATCAGCAGTTATTATCTAGTTTCTCCACATAGCATCAGAAATGCTTTAATGACAGAACTGTGCTAAACAGATGTAATGAGTATCCTACTGCACACAGCCCATTGTGGATGACAAAGTACCACATAAGGTAGATAGACTATGTACCTTATCACATAAGGGTAGATAGACTAAGACTATGTACCTGATACCTTAAAGGAGTTAGGCCAATCTTCACAAACATACTTGGACTGCCAAAATTGGATTAAAACAATGAAAGTAACAACCCTTAGCTTCAACACCATATCTTCATTTTTACCAGGTAGATTTTTTGTGTGTAATTAGGAGTGCCTAACAAATAGCTGACATGAGTTAGAAAACATTAGGACTCATTTTGGTTTTGGTGTTCATAAACACACCTCTTCCTCTGAGGTTCTAAGTTACTTGGCTTTGTTGGAAAGTATAAGAATTTTCTTGTGTTATAAAATAACAACTAAGCTTGGCCTCACCACAGCTGACTTGTGTTCCAATTCCAGGCCTCTTGTTACTGGAATGACCCATTACATTTCTTCTTTCTGCCAATTTAGTAAGGCTCCATAGGAAAAACGCTGCTTTACCCTCATTTTATTCTAAACTTCCCATTAATTTGAGCTGTGCTTTTCATCTTGAAAGGGGATTGAAAAATGTTCTGTTACGTCAAAAGTGACCCGTAAGAAAGTGCAAGAAAACTATTTAGGAGGACCATAGTGATTTTTCCTTTAGTGTTCTCCCCAAAAATGTAGATTTCTGCAGAGTATGTAAAGGACAGCAGATTCTCTTTGTCCGTGTGCACAACTACATTAGCCTTTTGCTCATAGTTTGCTGATGGATATGCGTCAACATATCCTCGGGTGGTTCTGAAGGCCATCTTTTTTCTCTTGCAGGTTGACATTCCCCAGCTCGTCAGGAGTGAGCAAGCTGACGTGGGCACCAGGAAAAATTCTCAAACACTGCCACCAGAAACTGGAATTTATGATAATGACCCCTGGTTTAAAGTGCAGGAAGGGTCTGAGGTTTATTCTAACCCGTACCTGGAGGAAACCAAACAGGGTATTGTTTATGCTTCCCTGAACCATGCCATCATTGGAATGAACCCAAGACAGGCAAAAAATGAGAAAGAAGAACCTACAGAATATGCATCCATATGTGTGAGGAGTTGAGTCTAGTTCTGACCCTAAGCAGTGGTCAGTAAATGGTTAGCATGTCAACCATTGCTAACCAATGGTTAGCGCATCAATGCCATTGCCAGGACCGAAAAGAATGTCAAATAACATCTCTCAACTTGGCAGTTTTCACTTTAAGAAGGTACATGTTGGTTCTTGGAAAAATAATTGAAGCCTTTTATGGTATGGGCTTGAATAATAAAGTCTTCTTTGGGAAACTGAGCACCAACATGAGCAGCAGAAGGGCTGGACACTTAAATTTAGCTACATTTTGCCCAATGTGCAAACTCAATCTTTCCTTCAGCACTGAGAGACATATTGCCAAGAGAGATTTAATGTTATTGGCATCGGTTCACTATACACTCTTGAAGAAGAATATCCCAATTAGACTAATCACAAGTACTGTAATAATCATACTTTTGCAGCCACTCTTCCATGATAAGAAATTTCTGTGTGTCAACCTAAGACTGATGTCTCTCAAATATAATGGAGAAATCATTTTGGACTTGACATAAGAAAAAAATGGGTGCAGCAAAGATGTAGAATATTCCAACTGGATATGAGGTAAATGTTTTCTGTGCTCAGCAAATAAATGTTTATATCTGCCCAGTTAGGTTGCTCAGTGAATATGAATATTAATAGAGCAATCAGTGCATGTGCATTTGTGAGCAAAGTGGTAGCTCAGTGCTTGGGTCACATAGACTAATGCATATGAAAGTGACTTGATGCTGCTGAGTTAACATACTGTGGACATCTGAATAAACTTAAAAATCAGTGAAAATAGGTGTCGCTAGGCATGTGCAGATTGAAACCTGCATCATGGTTGGCCTGATAGCAAATTAAAATCACAGTTAATGGAATGAAGAAGAGTTCAGAATATTTCATCAATCAACAGGGATCAACATGCTTTCATTCATATCTCTACCTTGCTGTTTTTCTGATGAGGGAATTCAGAGCAAATCATACCTTGTGAAATATTACAGTTTGATAATTTTTAAATTCTGAGATTGCAGCCACTCTAAGAGCAAAATAAGAGATGGTTTCAGATTTTCTGAATTTTCAGAGTACTTGAGTCTGATTATTTCAAAAATAGCCTATGACTTTATTGACCAAATAGAGGCCAGAGTTTTCAGGTGCTGCTACTAAATAATAGAGTAGTCCTAAAACAAAGTGGTTAGCCAAAGTTGGGATTCATTTGAACAAATACATGAGCTGCTGAATCAATGAATGTGTGTGTGTGTGTGTGTGTGTTAGTGCATACAGGGGTAAGTGACCTATAGAAATTGCACAAGAGAAACTGATCAAATTGCTCTTACATTTTCAGTTTGCTTATGAAGCTTAAAATGCTAGATCATGGATCATTAAAGAAAATGTATGAAATCATGGGAATGGGAGTATGATATACACACAAAAGAGGCAAAACTGAGGCTTTTCTTATGTAATGCTGGCATTAACGTGCAGTTACTAAGATTGGGGTGGAAGAGGCAGTTTCTGAGTCAATGTTATCTAGCCAGTATGATAACATTACACTTAAGATTTAAGCAAATTCTAGATGGATTCTTTTAGCCAAGCAGTATTTGTGGACAAATTATGTAAAAAAGAGAAGAATTGCTTGTCCAATTCTTAAAAATAGAAACAGGAAGTATGGTGAGGTTACATTTTGGTCTTCTCTTATCAGATAAACACACAAAGTTGAGCAGTTCCTTCCTAAATCTCTCCCACTTAAAAAAACAAAATATTTCTGTCTATGTTGCTTAGAATGTTCTTAGGGTGACTTACAGTAAAGATGCTATTGATTTCACTTTTCTAAATGTCTTATACTTGTATCATGCTTGTCAAAGTAACAAATTATTTATGCCTTATTTCCTTCAATAAATCTATTTTGATATTATTTCCATGACTTATTTCATTGATTTACCGATGCTTTGAGAAACAGAATATACAGACAATTTAATGATTTTTGATGAAATTTAAGCTTGCTGGTGGTTCCCAATAAGAAGGTAAAATGATTAAGATTTATTTGAAATTGACTGGATATTTGATTTTGTGACAAAACATGTATGGATGTAAGATAGAAGTGATTCTCAAATCTTGCAGTGTACAAGACAACCTGGAGAACTGGCTAAACTGTAGCTTACTAACTTCCAGAGCTGAGAAATTCTGATTCTGGAGACCTAGAATAGGGCTCTATAATCTTTTCCTTTAGAATACACCCTGGGTGATTTTGACATGTTTCTCAGTGCATACAACTTTAGAGGTCCAGAAGTAGAGGTGAGATTTGATAGAAGTCATTTCTTTGATCAGTGTTGTGCACCAACCAGGACCATCTAGTCCTCAAAATGGATTTTCTGGCTTGGTCATATCTTACATGCATATTTGTACATATATATATATATATATATATGTAGTTTTAGAGTCAGCAAAGCAAAACAGAAGGCAAGATTTCTTAAATGTCCTCTTTCCCTAAACATGCACAGATACCACCATCAGCAGCATGCTGCATGAACTACAATCAAACTGATACTGACAAGTCACTGTTAACCCAAGTCCATAGCTTACTCTTGATGTTTTAGTTCTTTAGGTTTTGGCTTGTAGAATGACATGTGTCCACCATTGTACTGATATACAGATAGTTTTTCTACCTTCAAAATCCTCTGTGCTGTGACCAGCATTGTGGTATAGCACATTAAGCCACTGCCTGTGATGCTGACATCCCATATGGGTGCCAATTCGAGTCCTGGCAACCCTATTTCCACTCCATCCCCCTGTTGATGTGCCTGCAAAAGCAGCGGAAGATGGCCCAAGTCCTTGGGCCCCTGCACCCATGGGGGAGACCTGGAAGAAGCTCCTGGCTCCTTTCTGGCTTCAGCCTGGCTCAGGGCTGGCTGGTGAGGCAATTTGGGGAATGTACCAGGAGTTGGAAGATCTCTCTTTCTCTCTCCCTCTCTCTTTGTAACTCTGTTTTTCAAATAAATAAATAAAATCTTTTTTTAAAAAAAAATCCTTTGTGCTCCATCTATTCATCCCTCCCTTCCCTCTAAACCCTGGGAACTACTACTGAAGTGTGTATTATATCCTTACTTTTTTTTTTTTTTTTAAAGAATGCCATGTAGTTGGAATCATACCCTGTATTGCCTTTTCAGATCGGCTTCTTCCTTTTGGTAATATACATTTAAGTTTCTTCTATGTCTTCTCATGACTCTTTTTAGCACTAAATAATATTCCATGGTATAGATGTGCCACAGTTTATTTATCTGAAGTACACCTTGTTTGCTTCTGCATTTTGGCTATTACGAATGAGAGTGCTATAAACATTTATGTTCAGGTTTTTGTGTAGACTTAATTTTCTATCTCATTTGGGTAAACATCATAGAGGATGGTTATGTGTAAGAGTATGATTAGTTTTGTAAGAAATCGGCAAATTGTCTTACATTGTGACTGTACTATTTTGTTCTTACCAGCAAAGGGAATTCATGTTGTTTTTGTGCTTGCCAGCATTTGGTGTTGTTCATATTTCAGAATTTTGCCAGTCAGAGCTCTGTAGCAATATCTCATTATTTTAATTTGCAATTCCCTGATAATATATGATGTTCATCATCTTATCATGTACTTATTTGCCATCTGTGTGTCTTCCCTAGTGAGGCACTCGTTCAGATTTTTGTTGATTTTTAAACTGAGCTATTCATTTCCTTGTTGAATTTTATGTGTTCTTAGTATAGTTTGGATAATAACAGTATTTTATCAAATATGCCTTTTGCAAATATTTCCTCCTAGTTTATGATAGTTTCTTCATCCTTATGGTAATCACACTACTTACTTGATATTGCTGCCATATTAGCCTGTGGACTTCTTACAGGCAAGAATTATGTCACTTCCTCTTTAGTTTCATAGCCCAGTACTTGGTAAGTATTAGAGTTAAATGATATTGAATGAATCAATTATTGTTTGTGAAGTTGGTCCAATACCTTTGCTACTTAAAGGCTAGCTCTCAAATCCTCACATGGGATTACCTTGGGAGCTTGTTAGTGATGTCGAATCTCAGGCTTCACATTGTAAATAAGAACCTACATTTTAGCAAGATGATTTGTGTGTACTTTCATGCGTGTGAATCTTGTGATCCACTTAGCTGTTATGAACCTATCACTACCCACCCCGAGTCAGGTGCGATAGGAGGCCAATTCACATTTATAGGACACACTATTTTAGGAACTAACAGGAAGGGCCTCACCACCCAACCCAGAAAGTAAAAATGGCATGTAAGAAAATGAAATATTTTATAGAATAAAAGTTGGTTCTGAACTTGAGAACACGGGAACTGAAAGTTCTGTGCAATAAATGAGCTTACAGGTTCAAAAGCAAGTTCTAGAGGTTGATCTTCAAAATTAGACCCTACTCTGAAGTCATTCCATCTGCAAACAACATAACTTCCTGTTAGTACCAACTAGTTTGCAAGATTCTGAGATTACATGATTGAGGATAATTCCATTCCTGCCTAATACCATGAAAAATATAGATGAAATAGAAACTAAACAAAGCAGCCTGGTGTTGTGGTACCCCAGATTAAGCCTCCACCTCTGATGCCACATCCCCTATCACAGCACTGGTTCATGTCCTAGTTGCTCCATTTCCTATCCAGCTCCCTGCTAATGTGCTTTGGGAAAGCAGCAGAAGATGGCCCAAGTGTTTGGGTCCCTGCCACCCACATAGGAGATCACGATGGAGTTTCAGGCTCCTAATGTGAAATAGCCCCAGCTGTGTGTCCATTTTGGAGTGAACCAGCAGATGGAAGATCTCTCCTCCTTTCTCTCACTCTGCCTTTCAAATAAATACACAAATATTTAAAAAATGTTTATATACCAATGTTTAAACTCTGTCATGGAGATAGGTGTCAAGTGTTTTGAAAACACCACAGAACTTGTAAAGTTCTTTGAGTCTAAAGACCATTTCTCGCTTGCTTTAGTATAATCTGTGTTCTTGAGGAACTTTTTGGAGGGGACCCTAAGTGATCAAACTTTTCTGTGTCTATAGGTTTTTATTAAATTGAGAAACAAGGGAGTAATATTGTGGAAAATATTAATGGTCAAGATAGATTGGTAAGCATGGCAAAGGCCTAGTGGCAAAAGAGATTTCCTACCTACTCCTACACTTAACTCTTGCTTGTCTCTGGGATACATTCTCAGGAAGAGTTGGGTCTGCGGAGAGACACTCATCAGCCCTGCAAAGGATGACAGTCTGCCCTATACATCCTGAGGACAGATGAATCAGGGGCAGGAATGTGATGGCAACACACTCCCTTGTAGGGCAAGGGCTTCTTCCTGAGGTTAACATGATTAAAAGGTGAGAACCCCTGCTTGTCTCACCAGTCAGCTAATTCAGTGATCTTTCTGGAAGGAAAAGTCTGCAAGAGGGTAGATCAGTAGAGATCCAATCTCATCACTAAGGTGAGAAAGTAAGGAAAGTATGAGAATGGGTCCTTCACAATTTGAGATCAAGTAAAAACCCACTAAATATTATATTGTTGAGCTGGACGAATTAAAGAGAGGAAGAAAGTATTCTTTCAGGGAAATCAAAGAAAAGTCATTTGTGATTTCTGTTAGAGTCAGGAAAACTGGAGGAAGAAATTCCAGTGGAGAGGAAAGTCATTTCAGAGAGCATGGTGGAATGGTCTGAAATGACAAGAAATCCAGTGTCTCTTGTGTAGACTATATGACAGAATGTAAGACCAATTTAAGCTGCAATTTTTATTTTAAAAGTGTGTAGGTAGTTACACACTTGTTAACAACATAAGATATTTAAATATCATGAGGAATCTATTGCAACTATTTTCTCTTTAAGTTTCTTGGCTGCCAAAGTTGTATATAATTAACATGTTAATACAGCCATGAATTTTATTTGCTTTGGAAAATTTAATTTTATTTATTTTTGTATTATTAGTATTTTTATTTCATGTTTAATTTTTATTAATTTTTAACAGATTCAATCTGATTTATAGATACAAGTCTAAGAACATAATGATACTCCTTTCCCACTCCCTCCCTCTATGATTTGTATTTTTTTTTAGTTTTTGATATAACATTTTAAATTTACATTGCAGTAAAAAGGCTTACTACTTTACTGAATAATAAGTTCCACAAGTAGAAAGCAGAAATACCCTAGTTTAGTGGGAACATAGACAATGGCTATCAACAATAATTGAATGGAAAAATGACCATTTAATCCATTTACAGTTGTTTTTTTTTTGTCAATTAGTCATTCATCCTTTCTTTCAATAAAATAGAACCAATGACAATGTAACATGCAAATATTTCTTATGTGGTTACAAGATAATAATCAAATTCATTTAGACTTTGAGCCATTTCCTCTCAACAGTTTATGAACAGGAGTAATTTTATGCAGCTTGCAATAAAAATAATTATACATTATGTATTTTTTGTACACTTTCAGTTATCAGAGATCAGGAAAAACATATGGTATTTATCTTTTTGGGACTGGCTTACCACATTTAGTATGATGATTTCCAGTTGCATCCATTTTGTTGCAAAGGACAGGATTTCCTCCTGTTTTTACAGCTTAGTAGTATTCCATAGTGTGTGCATATATCACATTTTCTTTATTCAGTCATCAGTTGAAGGACATCTGGGTTGATCCCATATCTTAGCTATTGTGAACTGAGCTGCAACAAACATGGGAGTACAGATAACCCTTTCATATGCTGATTTCATTTATTTTGGGTAAAATCCCAGGGGTGAGATTGCTGGGTCACATGGTATATCTATTTTCAGCTTTCTGAGGAATCACCATACTGTCTTCCATAATGGCTACACAGGTTGGCATTCCCACCAAAAGTGGATTACGGAGCCT